TTAAAAGAAAATGCAAAGGCCAGTACCAGGTCCTGCAGGTTCTGTTTGTTCTGATATCAGACCAACTCCTGATCCAAAATTGCAGCACAACAGCCAGCTTGACAGCTGCTAACACAGGTCTGCTGAGGTTTGCTTTGTGTTCTTGGTGTTCCTGAGCTGATGTACGGGCAGTGTCTGGTGCTGTACTACCTATCACAGTTCCTTTTCAGTAGTATTTTGATTTACTGGTATTTACCACAAAGTCAGATGCTGACATCTGTGGAAGGTACCAGCAGTGATGACATGTAATGGCACCACAGTTTGAATTATGTACCCTTGTTTGCATTTCTCTTTCCCTTCATCTATAAACTCTGGATTAAAGGTATTTAGGAAAGCCATCAGTGGGAAACATGGACTGTTAGACCTAGCTGAAGAAATAAGAGCTAGGAGAAAGTTAAATCTGTGGCTTCACAATGGTACTGCTCAGGAGCTGCAGGAAAGAAGAGAAGGTGCTGAAGTGCACATGTGAAAGAGAAGCAGCTCTATTCACTAAAGCCATGAGGATAGAAAGGGTTACTCTGTTGGATAGAAAAAGACCCTAAAAGCCTTTGCAATAAAGCATGTATAAGTGTCATTACTTTGTCAGCAGTTAGAATAAATTAGGAAAGGGGGAGACTAAACTCTTAAGATAAAGGAAAGTTTGTGCCACCAGAAAGAAATACAGCTAATATATTGAACATATTGTTCTAAACATTTTTCATTCTCTTTTCTCCCTCTGCAAAAATTTTACATAAAAATAGAATGCAGTATCCTCTTAAGCATGGAACTACCTTCTCATTTGTAAGAAAAGCAAATAACCCAACCACTGTCAGAAGAAGAAAAGTGCACATTACCTAGTGATAAGATGGCTAAGCTGTGGCAGGATTGGTCAGCCTGAGTTTATTTAGTCTTTGTCAAAGCAAATATTAAGTACATTTTTGTTCAAAGTCTGACTTGTGACATCTGCTTACCTATTTTTAGCTGATGAAGTTCTCACAGAAAGCCACAGCCAGTGCTTTCTTATCTTTGAGTAGGCAAAGTGCTGTTTACCTTGCATGAGCCTAGCATTCCTTGTTTCCACAGGCAGTTTAATTAAGGATGCATGTTCACCAAACAGAAGCAATGAATGGAATGGTAAATTATAGATGGTTGAGCAGTCTGAAGCATTTCATTATCAGTGACTTATTGTAATCATTGTAATTAAAAAAGGTCAAACAGGACAGTACCTCAGAACAGGGGCTTTCTGCTCACGAGATAATTTGTTTGAGACTGATGCCTCCACACCATTCACAGCCACAATTCAATCCTGTTAGAAAAAGCTCCTTCTGTATCAGCCTTAAAATGATCCAATTATCATTGTATTAACACAGGTCATTTGAGATGTTTACATGGAATTATCCATGTGCACAACTTCAACAGATGCATTGAACTGGCCAGTGTTTAACCTGCTTTGTTGAATTCTGGCAGCATAAAGCTGTATCAGACATCTGTTTCTGTAGTACTTTAAAAGAATCTGCAGTTCCTCCTATGTAGAAGTATCTGCTTTGCATGAATGTGTACAGCCATGATCCTGGGACAAGCAGGTGAACTGTGGAAAGTGAGAATAACAGGAAAAACTAAAGGTGCTATGGAAAAGCAATCACTGCCTGTAAGGAATTCACATTTCTGCAGTGGCCCTCTCACTACTCAGCACAGCTGTGGACCCATGCCTTCCAAAAAAAATTACCTTCTCCAGTTTTGAAGCATTTCCTAATGCACTGAAGTTACAGTTGTGCTCAAGGAAGCATATCCACCTGAGGCTAGCTCTGAAACTTTAGAATTTCCGGGAAATTTTAAAATTCCATTTGAGATCAGCAGTGCTTTCCCTAGTGTACTTCATACATACAGTTCCTATGAGGTTCATTCTCACAGCAATATTCAGACTGTTTTCAGATACCCAGATGGCAATCCATATGTGTTTACCCAAGAGCAACCACATTACGTATTTCTGCTTCCTTGTCATTTACTGAAAATATTGATGGATTTATTTTATTTAATGATTGCAATTCCTTAGTATAAATTAAAACTGATAGCATACCAGACACATCATTTGCACAATTCCACTGACTTCAGTGTTACACCAAAACCTTTTAACTCCAGAAGGATTACACAGTCTTACAGAGGTAGATTGAGGTAAAATACTTGACAGAATTCCTGATTTTTCATGGGAATTGTTCTGCCTTTTCTTATTTCCCTAGCACTCCAGAATATGCTCAGGGAATTCAATAACTCAGAGTGACAGACAATTATTCCTAACTAATTATTTTTTATTTTAACACATTTCTGAAAATGTAATAGAATCATTGCTACTCTTTCTTGAAAGAACATATGCTATTAATTAGCATCATCTAAAGCTACTACTGACATGAAACAATACAGGTCACCATATGGGTTGAAAAGGAAAATTGGAAGAAAAACAGCACAACACAACACAGTACACTGAAGGGGTGTTTGAGGGGACCATGGGAAAATTGCCTTGGCATCTACCATTGCACAGAATCAACCCCACTAGAAGGGAATATTCACCCTCAGCTGCATTTGCCTTAGACACTGAATCTGTCGCTCAGTACACATAGAGCAAAATTGTACCAGGATCTGGTTAATCTTGTCACTGAGAAAGGTCTTGCCCAGCCTTAATTGAGCCTGATCCACATTACTGCCAGTCACAGGTGATCTCCTGAGCACAAACTTCACTGTGGACTCTTACTGCAAAGTTCTGGGCTGTAATTTTAGTGGATATATAAGGGAGCAAAGAATAAGTGACCACACAGCACCAGCCTGTAGCTGAGACAGGGCAAATGTTGCCAGACCTTGATGTCACAGAACATATCAGTTACTGTCAAAGTTACTTTCATAACCCAAGGGATGAGATAAAAGGATTTATCTTGAAATCTTTTTATTGTGGTTTCCCTGTCCCAGGGATAGGCTGACCTTCCACAGAGCCAAACATCTTGTATTTGAGATTTGGCACAGTTTGAAAGCCAGGTTTTGCTCAGGATGTCCTAGAGTGCCGCATGTGATCAGAATGGTGAACCTTTCTTTATTTGCTTGATTTTTTAATTCCTTAAACATGGCAAAAATAGCTGATGTCATTTTGAGACATCCATACCAACTGAAGCAACAAGACTAATCCACAGAATGAATTGAAGAGACTGGGAAGTGTTCCATGGCACATCTTAACAAAGTGTCTATTAGTTGCATTTTACTAGATATTCTAAACTTGATAGAGTTATCAAGAACCTAAATCTTGACATTACCCTGCTTGCTTTGTAGAAAGGAATCAGGTTATTAATGCAAACATGAGCTAAGATAGAGAAATAATACATCTTCAAAATGCTAAGAGCCAAATGGTGACCTTGCTCACAAGATGCTGCCTGCAACTCATATTCTGGGTCCAGTTCCTGGCTCCTTCAGACTTCCTGTGTGGGCTTGGCTGAAACAAATCTGTACCTCACTTCCGTATTAAAAACACAATCATTTATAAATTTAAAAAGATTTGTCTTCCAACGAGAGCAAGTCAAACACTAAACTCAGTGGCATTCCGCACTTAAAAGGAATATCAGTGCTGAACCACTCAAATAAGGAGCAGCCACATCTGTGACAACATAGCTCGTGTGGCTGTAATGATGGGCATCTCTGCTTTCTGAATGCATCTGTACTGCCCAGGGTCTTAGGGTGGGTCTTACATTTATAAAGGGTTTGGGGTTTGCTTTGTTTTGCTTTTGAAGCCAAAGTATTTCAGTTAAACTTTGTTTTAAGCAGTACAAGTTGGGTTTGGCTCATAGCAGTCAGAATCCTGCAAACAGCAATAAACAGTAATCTGCAATAATAACTATCAATTCTTTTTATTTTTTTTTTCTTTTCAAACATCCATTATTTTTCGGGGAAGAGTGTCTGTTTTTAGAGTCTGGAAAGTAATGAGTATCAGAGTCATACTGTATTACCTGCTTTCTAAAGTAATCAGTCATTAATAAAGAAATTATTCTTGCAGAACACACAGGCCCTGGCAAACCAAACAGGTGCCCTTTAAAGGAGTAAAGGAGATTTCTTACCCTTGCTAAACACTTAATATGATCCAGAAATACAACTTCAGCTCTTGGATACATACATTTTGTCAGCAACTGAAAAAGGAATACGTTCCCACTGGCACCCTTCTTAAACTCTTTGTACAGTTATTAATGTGCAACAGATCAGGACATGTCTGAATTTTCACAGATCCTTTTCCCCTCACTAGTAGTTAAATACCATAGTTCCAAGCCAGATGGAGAGCTAAATAGCCTCTGAATATTTAAGGTATTTTCTGTACAACAGAACCAAAAATAGGTTCTGTGTTTTCATCTTTCTCTGTGATGTAAAAATTTTCTCAAAGAATTAAGTTCAATGTATAGAAGAAAAATTCTGGTGATTAATCTTAGACATACAAGTACCTAACCTAAAGTCACTTATTTTCTTAATTCATTGCAGTTTGTATTTACATACTTAATTAGAATTCAGAATGCTTAACTTTAGTTTCTGAGATATCTGAATAACTTAGCTCATTAAATATGTCACCTATTTATGGAAAGAAAATAATCTAAAGATCCTTCTGAATTTATAGTAATCTGCTATTTTCAGTCTCTCTTATTTTTGACTTGTGTTCACTAACCAGTATTATTTTAAATTGGAACTTTGTTAATTGAAAGAGGTTTTTAGACTTCATTTATGTTAAAAAGAATCTATAAATGTTCAGCCAACTCCTAACATTCTTACTTCTGTTTTACTCTGCAAAGTCTGTATTAAAATAGGAATTGGTTGGTAAAACACTTGAAGATGGCTTATTTTAAAATTCAAAGACACTGACACATTATGTTCGACTTGACAAAAAAACTTGACATTTAGTTGAGAATTGTTAAAAATTAAATCCCTATCACAAATATGGTTTTCTTCCTCTTTTCCCCTCCTAGGTGTGAGCTTCATATTTTCTCCCATAAAGAAGCTTACAGCTGAAGAGTTCAAGATGATTCCTAACTACTCTACTGAGGAAACCGTTAAAAGAATCCACGTGGACTGTCCTGTTTCAGGAAGGCACAGCTATATCTACATTATGGTTCCAACCGTTTACAGCATCATCTTCATCATAGGCATATTTGGGAACAGCCTGGTCGTTATTGTCATTTACTGCTACATGAAGTTGAAAACAGTAGCCAGCATCTTCCTTCTCAACCTGGCCCTGGCTGACTTGTGTTTTCTCATAACTCTGCCCCTCTGGGCAGCCTACACGGCCATGGAGTACCAGTGGCCTTTTGGCAACTGTTTGTGCAAGTTGGCCTCGGCGGGGATCAGTTTCAACCTGTACGCCAGCGTGTTCCTGCTCACCTGCCTGAGCATCGACCGCTACCTGGCCATCGTGCACCCGGTGCAGTCGCGGGTCCGCCGGACCATGTTTGTAGCCCGAGTCACCTGCATCGCCATCTGGCTCCTGGCCGGCGTGGCCAGCTTGCCCGTCATCATTCACCGCAACATATTCTTCGCTGAGAATTTGAACATGACAGTCTGTGGGTTTCGCTATGAAAGCAATAACACAACCCTGCGGGTCGGGTTGGGTTTATCCAAAAATTTGCTGGGCTTTTTAATTCCTTTTCTGATCATATTAACAAGCTACACCTTAATTTGGAAGACTCTGAAGAAGGCATATCAGATTCAAAAAAATAAGACTAGAAATGATGACATTTTTAAGATGATTGTGGCAATTGTATTTTTCTTTTTCTTTTCCTGGATTCCTCATCAAGTGTTCACTTTTCTGGACGTGTTGATTCAATTACATGTAATAACAGATTGCAAAATCACCGATATTGTGGATACAGCTATGCCTTTCACCATTTGTATCGCTTACTTTAACAACTGCCTGAATCCCTTTTTTTATGTATTTTTTGGAAAAAACTTTAAAAAATACTTCCTTCAGCTGATAAAATACATCCCACCGAACGTCAGCACACATCCAAGCCTAACAACCAAAATGAGCTCCCTCTCCTACAGGCCACCTGAAAACATCCGCTTGCACACTAAAAAGACTGCTGGGCCTTTTGACACCAATTGAGGCGTTTAGCAAAGTTCTTCTTTTGAACAACCTTGTGTGCGAAGCAGCAAGATCAACAAGATTCATCTGCGGTCCTGAACATCACAGCTCATTACAGCAACACTGGATCTCCTCAGAGAAATCATACTGTAAAGAGTCAGCAGTGAACTTTCATCTTACATTGCAAAGAGGACTGCTTCGTTTTCATTTTGTTTTTCTTTACTGAAAGCGGCGTTAAGTGTTGGAACAGGTGTGTCAGAGTTCCTGCCACATCCCACCGTTTGCTTGGAGCTACAAAAGAAGGGGAGAGAAAACTCCTAACTTAAGTTCATAAGTGTTTCAAAAGGAAAAGCTTGTATAAATGACATGAAATACAAAGAATCTGACTTGCATATATGTGAGCTATTCTGTTGAAGGAGTGGAGCTTTGTTTCTTGTTTTGTTGGGGTTTTTTTAATTACATAAATGTCCTATAATCATATTTATAATATATTTTCAAATATATGCTATATATAGAAGCCCAGTTTTAAACTCAAATGGAAATTTAAGGTCCTTGAAATTTGTCTTATTCTGATTTATGCTACTTTTTTTTTAATGGCAATTTTTTCATAATAATATATGCAATAAAATGCAGACTTATTTATTAAATATAGAATAAATATATTTTTAGATTTATATTCCTACTCATACATTTCAAACATTGCTTCAGAAATGTACATTTATATCCCAGTGGGTATTTTTATAGCAGTTAAAAAAAATAACTCTATATATGCACACAGAAATGGGGTTCACTCAGCCTTTCCTCATTGTAAGCCACCCTGAAGTTTGAAGAATGCTACAGACAGGAGTTGACTCTAAACTCTGTGTGACTAAAAGTAAATTTCTGTATTTGAAAACAACAGTTCTGGGAAAGAGGTGATCAGAAAACTTCAAACTATTTTTCTGTTATAACTAGGGCACTTAGTGGGAGAAGTTACCAACTAATCCAATCCACTTAGTTTTTCAAATTCCTGCACGTTTAGTAAACTCCTACTGATAAGCAAAAGCGTGACAATGCTTATATATCAATTCAACTAATAATACTTTTAGTCCCGTCACAAAAGATCCAAGACCAAACTTCACTCTTGGCTTTTGCAGAATTTCTCTCCATTTGTATAAACTTATGCCCAGGCTATTTGCTCCCTGTAGAACATTTTTTTATTTATATGGAACAAATTCAGATTTATACTAGCATAAATCAGAACTAAACTCTGGCTCAAACTCAATACAAATAAAGAGGAAAGGTGATAAGCACTGTCGGAAGTTTCCATCGATGATATCCTCATATGTGTCCTTTTTACCACAAATACTGAGCTCCAGATAATATTTATGCTTGATTCACACCCATTTATTGTCCTTAAAGATAAATGAGTTCATAAGTACTTTCTGACATACAAAACTTAAGAAAAAAATCCAAAACTTTACACGTATCATGTAGAAAATTACATACCCCTTAAGAATTTGCAGTATTTATAATCTTCAAAATCATATGTGTAACGTGGCTTTGTCTCAAGTAGTGAGTGGTTGTATTATTCATATTTTCTGATGCTCAAAATCAAAACACAGCAAAACAGTTATTTCTGTAGTTTAATGCTTTCTAAGCAAAAACTGAGATTACAACCAGGTCTAGAAATCTTCCAGCTTTTTCATTCACTTATACTAAGGAAAGTTTTTTTCCGTTTTGCCTTTGTTCTTCAGCTGCAAAAATGGGAACAATGTGTCTACTTAAATATATTGCAAGGCACTGTCATTAGTCACACCTTTCTAAAGCTGTATGTTTAAAAAAAAGCTCCTTCATTAAATCTTTAAGTTAATTTAATTGCAAGCTAGTATCTCAACATTTGAAGCCTGGACATCATTTAACAACATATTTAAAGTGTTATACTGAATACTTTTTATTTAGCTTATATCCTTACATGTGAGACAGCCATTTGCTTAAATTGACTATGGCAATAATCCCGTGCATTACAAATAGCACCCAGAACAGGACCAGTGCTCCAGCACTCTGTAAGCTGACAAAGGACTGGCAGAGATTGCCATATTTCAGTATATTTTGTTCATGGACACGTATGTACATGCTGAGCAGCATCAGGAGCTTCCCCTGGCAGGAGCATCTCTGTCCAGCCATAATTCTGTGTGCTGTGCTTGCCACCTGCTGGATGCAGCCACAAATTTGCTTTACATCTCACTTCCCTGCCACCTGAAGGATCTGAAGATCCTCACCTGTGGCAAAACTCTTGTATGAATAAAACATAAACTTGTCCATCTGGGAGGCCAGTAACTTCCTTGGCAGGGTCTAAGAAAACATTTCCTCATCAGCTACTCATCCCTTTGGTCACTGAAACCCAGTGTCCCCAATGACCACAATAGGGAGCTCATTGGCAAAACATTGATTGCATTACTACAAGAGCCATCTCAAAGAGAAGACATAGAAATCAAACCCATTTGTTACTGAACTTGATCATTTCATGCCAGTTCCTGCCGTTTTAAGAGGCTGTGTATCCTAAGCTACGGTGCTATCTGCACCTGCCTGTGCCATGTGAAAAAGCAGGAGCATGCACATTCAGCTGTTACTGGAGGAAAGGTAGGAAGGGATTGCACCTGGTGTGTTCTGAGGGCAGCACTGACCTTGACTCGATAGGTAAAGAAAGCAGAAGGGAAAGCTTTCCTAAATAAAGCAGAGAAATTTTCATTCTCCTAAGGAGTAAGAAAATAATCATCAGCTGCGAAATATGCTAGCTCCTTAAAAAAAAAAAAAAAATCAGCAAATTAGCAGATACTGAAAAGAATCTAGAGATAAAACTCCAGCAAACTCTAATCGGGTAGTAGCAGAAAGTGAACTTTTTGGAGCACAGAGTGTCTGTGTACAGCCAGGTGCTGCAGTTTCACCACAGCCCAAACTGACAGCCAGGGGAAGAGCCCACAGGACAGACACCCACACCTCTCCCATCGTGCATCTGCCACCAAGGCAGGTGCTGAGCCTTACACTCCCCTGTGGGCTGGAGGTCTGTGTGGGGCAGGCAGAGCACAGGTGAGGCAGAGGGGACAGTCTGGCCTTTGCTGGGGACCCTTAGCTGTGGGGCACGTAAGGAGATGGACAGAATATTCTTTGGTGCAAGAACCTCCCCAGTGCCAACAAAGGAGGGAGTAAGATTTGGCTCTGTATGATTTTGCCATCTTTGGGTTGAGCCCTCTTAATATCAAAGGCTGTAGATTTTTAGGAACAAACTCCCACTACCCTAAAGAACACAAAGTTAATTCATATGCAACATCATCCAGTTATTTTTAAGAGGAGTATCCATGGTGCTTTTCATTTCTGGGATGACTAAAGTAAAATACTACAAACTCTTAGTCTGTCCTTGTACCCTCCTGTTGTGAGGAACCCAAGTCAGTGCTAATGGGAACAGCATATAACCCTAAATACAGGCATTACAGCCCCTGTTCCACCACAATTTTATTTATTTGAATGAATACCTTTTTTTTTCTGCTGAATAATTACTAAATTACATATTTGATGTACATGCATAATATTTCTATTTATTGTGCAATAGTACTTCATATGACTCATGTTTTGTGCTCCCTACTTTCTTGCCCATTGTGTGCCTATCCTAAATCATACTGTATAATCTACACTGGTTAGCCCAAATTCCAACAAAACCATTACAGATACAGTGGGGATTAATCTGGCTTCTTGGCCTAACAATTCCCTCGTGTCTACATTGTAATCAAGAGGTTGCAGAGTAAGCACAAGACCAAAAGTCCTTTACCAGCATTACTGTTTAGATGATAGTTTCCATTGTCTATTTGAAACTGTGACAGCAGCAGAGAATACGGTGGGTTTTCTAGGTTTGGTTTAGTTTTGCATTAATATCTTCAGCAAAGGTTTATTTTGATAAACCTGACCTCCTTTTTAAGTACAGGTATTTAAAGCACAGGTATTCCCAGGGATATATTTGCCACTGAAAGGAAGAACAAATCCGTGGGAGAGGGTGGTTGAAGGCCTAAGATTCAGGGACTTGCTGAACTTGGAATATTAAGTGTTAAATGTAAATATTTAGTTTTAGTTTTGCAACAGACTGGGGGGAAAACCACACGCACACAAAAAGAATAAATCTTTCAGCTTAGTAAAATCTTCCAGAAAGTTTTGAGAGACTCTAAGTCTCTTAATAACATCCTGCTCAGTTTGGAACATGTCAAACCATTCCTGCACCGCTCACAAGGTCAGGGCACCAGCCCTGCTCTTCTGCATTGCTTTACAGGCTTGGCCAGACCGTCATGCCACCAGCTCGTGCAAAGTGAGGGCTGTTCTATCAATCACTGAGTGCACCTCAAACACGACCTCCCAGCCAAGGCTGAACTAACAAATCCTCAATGCTACAGCCCAGCTGTCAAGCTCAGTGTCACCAGAGAGCTCTGCAGAGGTGACAGGACACTCGAGGGATGGGACAGATCAGATCATGTCTGAGAACAGCACTGTGTGATCTTCTTAGTGGACTAGTGCCATGGGCTCCAGCTTTGTAGTTGGCAAGTTAGGTAACAAAAGCTAGGTATTACTTTCTTTTCAATATTTTTGTGCAGTTGTAATTTATGGCTTGTGGCTTGAATGTTAAATATTTTCTATTTTAATAGAGATAGTTTTATATTGTAGAGGTTTACCTTGATTATATAACAACTTTTGTTGTCTGAAATATTACCAAAAACATACAAGTCATCAATAAATGTCTTTGTGAAAGTCACCTCCACTTCTGTGTTAAGCACCCACAGCAGAGAGATCTGTTTCTGTGTTGTTGCAAGTACTATACTGTTATCTGTATAACCACAGATATATATTTTTTATATATATCTTGTTAATATCATCCTTAAAGTATTTCTGTGTAATGCTGTAACATTTTGTACCACTATTCCTCATTACTTTTAACCCGTATCCTAACCCAGCTCTCCCTTCAATCTTTGAGATGTACAGTTTGTGTCTGCGATTCATATTGGGGAGGATACCCAGCTAGCTCCAAAATCACATGTAGAACAGCAGTTCAATAATTCATTTCTGTATCCCAGAACAGACTAAGCTAATAAAGTTTACTTGGAGTGGAGACGAAGCAAATTGCCGATTTTCCTACATACAGGTTGGAGTTTGAAACCAAATTTAGGCTTAACCTTTTAGAAACTAAATTTAATTTTAGGTACAGATTTATTTAGAATACTGTGTTAAATACAGAATCACATTACATTGTGGATAATGACTTTGAACAGCCAGACTCAGGCTGCCTGTAGCTGAATATTCAGTGTAAATATATCCACTTAGAATATAAGCAGTGCCACTGCATTACACTGCATTGTGGCTGCAGTGGAAACAGCATCAGGCTCCAGTATAATAAGAAAAGACTGGGGAGGGGAGGAGGGGTTGACAGTGAAAGGAATGGTAGATTGGATTTTGGCATTTCCAATTTGTATGAAAATAAAATAGAATTTAGTCTTGCATATCCCTAGTAAACCCCACTTCATACTGTGTCTTACAGTGTCATATACTGGAAAAAAAAGTGAAAAACAGTTAAAGGTTGGGTCTGAAATTGTTATAACTTATCTACTGCATAACATTTTCCATGTATATTAGTTATTCTTCAGCTTTGTGCATTGGCAGCTTTACATACTGTTGGTGGTGTTAGGCTACAATTAAGCAAAGGCCCTGGGGCAGGAGGACAGGCAAACACATACCTTGGAGCTTTATCATGAGGTAATCAGAGGTGAAGAATTGTTAGAATATGGTGGAAAGCAAAGACAGTTGCTGAACAAATATAAAATTGTAAAGATAATTAACCCTTGCATTAAATAAAACCTTTTAAATATTTTTTTAAAACTAAAGTCAGCAAAATAATTAAAAATAATTACGCAGAAAGAACAGAAAATGCTGAAAGAGAATATCAATTCCACTTAGAATTACAGAGAATTTCGAGCATCTCCAACTCATGTTTTCAAGCAAATGCAAACCTGGCCATTTCTGTGAAATTGAATGAATAAACAGAAAAGTTGAAGTTAAC